AATTCCCAACAAAGTGGGAAGAGAAAGAATGTATCTTAACATAATAAAAGCTATTGTTGACAAAACCACAGCTAATATCATACTAAACAATTCTACACAATACTAAATGTTTCCCTTAAGATCAGTAATGAGACAGGGATGTCTGCTTTCAGCACTCTCATTCAACATAGTACTGGAAGTATTACCCACAGCAATCAGACAGGAAATAAAAGGCATCCATATAGGAAAAGAAGAAGTAAAATTGTCATTATTTGCAGAAGACACATTACTATATATACAGAACCCTAAGAATTCCGCCAATAAGGAGTTAATATCCAAAACTTATAAAGAACTCATACAGCTCAACACCAAGAAAACAAACAATCCAATTAAAAAACAGGCAAAGGAGCTGAACCGACACTTCTCCAAAGAGGACACTCAAATGGCCAATAGACATATGATAAGATGCTCAATGTCGCTAATTATCAGAGATGCAAATTAAAACCACAATGAGAACTGGAGCTCAGGGGCCTGGGGGAAAGGGGATTTAGGCAGGGCAGTAGTTTTCCTATAACTCAAAACTTTGTGCCAGTGAAGGCACATTGAAATAAGAAAATAAGACACTCAAGCATGTTCTTTATGTGAATTCAGATGGGTAGTGACCATCTCATTTGCTTTTAAAAAGGACAACACAGAGGAGAGGAACCAAGACAGCAGCATAGGTAAACATGCTTGCCGCCTCCCAGGACCACATCAAAATCACAACCAAAACACAGAACCACCATCATCAGAGCCTCCTGAAATCTAACTGAACAGAAGCCCCACAACCAGGGAACTGAAGCAGCACCGAGATCGGGAGGAAGGACGCAGACTCAGGGGGATCGGGGTGGAATCCCGGAGACGTGGCCACGGGCCCACACCCGGTGCCGTGGGGTAAACCCGGGAGGGAATCTCCATGGCAGAGGTTTCCCAGAGGAGGGAGGGGTCCCAGCCCCACAGCAGCCCCCCAGCCCAGGGCTCCAGGGCCGGGAAGAGACGTCCCCACAACCTCGGGCTGTGAAACCAGGGGGACTGTCGCTGAGGGTTGCGGAGGCTGCGGGAGCCCCAGCAGCTCCTCTAAAGGGCCCGTGCACGGACTCACCCGGACGCACTCCCTCTGACCCGGCGCCGGGCAGCAGCCTGAAAGGACCCGGGACACTCGGGGAGGAACTAGCCTGCCTGAAGTTGGGGAGAGAGCTGGAGGGGCAGCTTCCTCCCAGGCAGAAGGGCTGGTAGAGGCCATGGCTCCTTTGACGAGTCCTCCCCGCACACAGCCGGCAGGCAGGCGCCATATTTGAGTCGCCAGCACCTGACTCTCACCTTTGGCCCCGCCCCATGATTCCCGGAGGCCCCGCCCCTCCCACCTGCAGCTCATCCAGGCCATTTCCAGGGGCTTTTCTGTCCAAGTGGCCTCTCAAGCTTCATGCTTAGGACTTTCCTAAAATCTCTCAAACAAGCAGCAGTGGGCCCCATACGGCTTGATAAGCAGCCCCAGGCCTGGCACTAGCAGCAGCTGCATTGGCTTATAGCTTGGCCTCTCCTGGGCACCTCCAAGCCCAGCACAAGTAGCAGCCAATTCCGGTTTGCTGAGTAGCTCATCCTGGGTTGCCCTGGGCAAGGCACTGGCAGAGCCTGACTTTGCACCTCCCGGGAGGCCCCACAGACAGTGCACCTGGTGGTCAGACTCGCCCACACTGGATGACAACCCTACCACATCCATGAGGAACACTCAAGGGGCGCACTTGGTGAACACCAAAGCTCCACTGAAGTAAATCCTGCTCCATAGGGGTGTCTCCAGCACAGCAGCCCTTTGGCTGTACTTGCAGCTGGTGCTCACAGCTGACTGGCCTGGGGATCAATTCCTTCCAGGGACGCCAACAGCAACCAAGGCTCAACTACAACAGGACAGTGCACTCAGCCCACACAGGGGAGCACCTAGAAGGCCCAGCTCAGGTGACTGGGAGGCTGAGCCACTGGACCCCTTCAGGACACCTACCTCACAAAGCCACTCTACCAATTCCAGGAGACACAGCAGCTCTATCTAATACATAGAAACAAACACCGGGAAGCAGCCAAAATGCGGAGGCAAAGAAACATGTCACAAAGGA